AACACAAGTTTTGAGTTTTCCAAATTTTTCCAAGAAATAGATTGTTTCGCTTTGGTTCGCACAAAAAAAATGGTGAGAAACTAATGTATTTATTTTTTTTTGTGTTTGGTTCGCATGGAAAAAAAGAAAAACTTTTGTTTATATGGCAAAAAGCCGACATGGCTGTAGTTTTCGTCGATTTCACGAGGTTGAGGAAGGAATTGGGAGAAAAAAAAATCTGATGTGGCGGTGATTTTCACCGAGTTTTCCTTCTTCAGCCCTAGCAAACCAAATATGGGAAAAAAAACCGACGGAAAACTTATATCCTACGTGGCCACGAAAAATCTGATGTGAAGGCGGTGAAAAACTTTTCCACCGAGTTAAAAAACGAACTAAACAGCCCCTAAAACTACAAAGGTTCTATCCACAATTGGGCGACCATAATAACCTGTGGATACCCAAGCTTTTCCCTAAATATAGTAACCCGTTTCTGTTACCCAACAGACGCAAGCACACAGTTATTGTTCAAACAAAGAAACCTCAAAACCCCCCGCAACCCCCGCCAAAAAAACGTTTTCAGTTCCTTCCAAGCTATCCCAACTCTCTTCTTCCCTTCTACTCATTACCACCTCCACTTTATAACATCAATCAAACCCCCAAAATCCTAATCCAAACTACATCTGAACCCTAAAGAGGCAATCAAACAATGGAGAACAAAGCAACAGCCATAGCCTCAGCCTCAGTATCGTATCATATGATCGAAGACGAAGAAGCTCAGCCTCTCCTAGCGAACCGTCATTCAAACCCACGAAGCGAAGATCAGAGCACTCTGATACAGCGAGCCATCAGCCAAACATTCAAGAGCACTGCCCATCTCGCCAATCTCCTTCCTACAGGCACTGTGCTCTCTTTCCAGCTATTATCCCCGATATTCACAAACCAAGGCAACTGTCATCCCGTTAACAAAACCATGACTTCTTTCCTCGTCGCATTATGTGGTCTTTCTTGTTTTCTTCTCAGCTTCACCGATAGCTTCAGAGATGACAAAGGAGAGGTTCGTTATGGCTTGGCAACATTCAAGGGTTTGTGGGTAATTGACGGAAGTGCCCCTTTGCCTCCTGAGAAGACGGAAAGTTATAAGATGAAGTTTATTGATTTTGTTCATGCCTTTATGTCGTTGATGGTCTTTGTTGCTGTTGCTCTGTTTGATCAGAATGTTGTGTCATGCTTTTATCCTGTTCCTTCCGAGGATATGGAGCAGGTTTTGATGGCGTTGCCGGTTGGGATCGGGGTTTTGTGTAGCATGATGTTTGTGACTTTTCCTACTACTCGCCATGGTATTGGTTTTCCTCTTTCACCTCGTTGACGGCTCTGGCAAATATCAGAATGTATAAAGTGTAAGATATGATATTCTAAAAAAATGTATGAGAGAAAGCATTCTTGTTGTTTTCTCTGGGGACAATAACGTATTAGTGCTCCCATATAGTCAACTACAATTCAGACAAACTTCTATATCGTGCTCTTTTATTTTTGTAACGGGTTAATCGCAGCTGGAGCTGTGTACTATCGCCCAATTGCTGATAGATCCCCTGTAGTTCTATTGCTGCAGATAGAACCCCTAAGATAACTTCTTCAATGCTTTTACCCTCAAAGAATGAGAAAATTATCTTTTGACAGGTAGAAGACGTCCTGAGGGTAAAAGAGAGAAGGGGGAAAAAATCACTCAGAGGGTCTATCCACACCTGGGCAATAATACAGGCGTTATATCCACAATTAACCCGTTATAATAATATGGGTAAGGTCTCCTTTTTCCCCTGAAAAGAAAAGGGATACAACAACATCACAAAGGAAGCATTGGCCATCAGAATCCTCTCTCCCTCACCTTGGTTTTTAGCCTCTTTGAAATACTATTCTAACAAACCCAAAGGCCAAAGTCTTAATTAACCAATGTAGATATCTAAAGCAATGACCTGCAATAGCATAGCGCAAGGATGTTTTGGTTCCCCAAACCTTAAGTACTTCTAAGGTAAAATAAATTATATTCCAACAGGTGACAAGAATGTCGAGAAGATTTCTGCCGACAAAGATGTTTTCGTCAAAAGTTGTTTCCATTGCAGATTCCATTAAAACTTCGATCGTTTACAAAGAATTACAATCACATGAAAATAAAAGAAAATTACAACTCTCAGAAAATAACACAGAAATTTTATCAACTCCTGCCTTTGTTGGACTTGCCTGCGCAGGAACCTTTAAGTTCGTTGACCAGCCGTTGTAGACGAGAGTTGTCTATGATCTCTCCTCGGTTATCGAAGTAAAGATTTGAAAAACAATATTTACGATGTAAGATGTCGTTCTTCCAAACGATCAAGTCTAGTAGATCTCTAGGATTACCAAATGATGCTTGTCAAAGTCCGTTGAAAATTCTCTCTTTCTTTCTCAAATCACCAAAGACTCAAGTCTCTCCTGTTCCAAATGCTCTCTGCCTTTATTTCGTGTATAGGAGGTATTTATAGGCGGTCTCAGTGACCACAGTGTAAAAGGGGCGAAATAACCGACCATGTGTTCTCTTGCTGCTGCCAGTTCGCTGTCGCGGCCTTGGGCGCTGCAGTATAAGCTGCCGGCGCCAAAGAGACGGTTATGAGCCTGTTCCATCCTGCGCTCAAAAATACTCTCCCGAACTTTAGACACCTTTTTCATGTTTACGCTTTCCACGTCAGCACAGCGTTCTATCTTTGCATATGCCCCTGCGTGACTTCCAAACATATCATCAAATTAACTGTCTTATAACGTGGCCTACGTCATCTGCTTATAACCAACGCACACTATAGGCCGCCGCGTCTAAGCGCGCGGCACCTTCGTCGTCGCCGCCATAGCCGCGCGCCTTGGTCTGCCCGCGCCATAGCCCGCGGCGCCTTGGTCTGCCGCCGGCTATAGACCCGGCGCCTTGTCGCCTGCGCTTAGCCACGTACGCTTTGGTATGTGCGCGCCTTAAGCCGCGACACATTGCTGCAGCCCCACAGTGCTGTCTATACGTTATATCGTTCTTCTATGTTGTCTTTGCATGTGTTTGAATGTCTATAAGCGATTTTTGACGCCTTACAGATACCCCCCTCAAGTTATCTAGCAGATCCATCATTTTTTTTTTTTTAGAGGGTCTCGGACACTTTGGAATGACTAACTTTCCTACAATCTCTCCAGTGCTTCTTGAGGAAATTTGCGTAGAACGTTTGGAATAGGTATTCAATCCTTACTTTTTCTTGTTAATTATTCAGTTGCTTTGTGAATAGTTAAAATTCCTCCGGCTGCGTTTATCGCGATGGCTTGTCGAAGTCTTGATCAGAACTGTGTTGAAGAACTTAAGAAATAGTTATATAACTATAATTATATATTGAGTTTTCGGGAAAATAGTTTAACTCAGTATACTCCGTTTGGGAGGTTCACGGGCAGATACAGTTATACTCTTTACTCACGAGTGTCCGGAAGTATTCCAAATACAGACGGGAGATGTATGTGTTCAAACAGCCGAAAATTATCATGTAATACACCATGTTGTCTGAATAGTCAGTGGATCTTGGTGGGTGTAGCCATGCCGCGGCGCTGTATACTGTCGCGCTAGCTGAGCCGCGGCCAGATAGATCTGTCAAAGCGCTCGAGCGCGGACGCATCTTGCTGCGACGCCAGTCGCCTCTAGCTCTCAGTCGGCGGCTATAAGCATGACTGTTGGCTTCTTCGCGTCAATTCCCACTTATCTGAGTTCCA